TATGGAGAGAATCCTACATCGTCGAAAGAGTGAATAGAGACCTCTACTCAGCACGAACACTTCTAAGCCTGGAACTGTCATGTACCTGAAAAATAGAAGTGGGTCAAGCCCACGCGCAAGTTCTATACTACTACAATCCAAACAGAGGCCCGATACGCATGTACATCCTAAACAATTCAACATTAGCTAATAGTCCGTAAATATATATATAGTCATACTAAATGACTCTCACTGGACTACAGGCCGGTCTCAACCTGAATAGAAATAACATGCTAAAACGCACACGAAGTGGGCATATGTACCTATACCTAAACAGGGTACACTTCTAACCATCGTATCCAGCTATGCATCCCAATGCATATACGCTTCCTAACCGTCGATCCTGAGACTCAAGCTCATATCGAGGTACCATAACAGTATATTTAAAGTCCATCCCGAATCCTAGTAGTGCCGCTCAACTAGTCGTTGCCATGACATTACAATTAATAGGACTTAACCTTTAGTTAACCCAATTCTTAATCCAGAGTAGGTAGGTTTTGGTATTTTGAAACCAAACCATCCCTAGCATACCACCGTCCAATACCGGTGTATACTATCCAATCATCCAGGAGTTGATAACATCAACAATTAAAGTAAACATCAGCTAAATCCATATTTCCATTACTGATACTAACAGGCATAGTGTAAGCATCAATAAAAAGAATCAGATATATACATAGACAGATTCAGTTTTATATCCAACACTGATACTAACATACATAATGTAAGTATCAAGAATTATAATTACTGTATAAACACAAACTTCCTCAGTTTAGGTTGTTTCACTCAATCAGATATAATGATAAAATTATTTTAAATTATCATTCAATACTCAGCAGTTGATATTACAGACATTTAAGATAACCATTAACAAAGTCCATTCCTCCAACAGTTGATACTAATAATACTAATGCAAGCATCAAGATAGAACCACAGTAGATACATATACCTACTTAGTTTAGGTTGTTTTACAAAATCCCATTAGTGTTAATTTGAGAATTATTATTCTTCAACATTACCATATTCTAAACAAGTGTAATTCAGATACATACTCATGATATAGAATTATACATGTTCTAATTATATCATTCGTCTCAAAAGATTTCAGAATTAAACACAGTGTACTCACATAATTTAACACTATGGAACTACTTGTTTAAAACCCTACTGTCCAGACTTTTCTACACAAGTAACCTTACTTAACACCACCTCTGAAGCTTTAATTTATCTCCATACATTACTTAGACCTTCCATATTCAATTCTGCAGTCAATTGAAAATTCCAAAATCAACCGTTGCATGCAAAACTGACTGGAAACGAAGAAAATCACAAAAACTGAGCAAGGAGACGTCTCCAAAAATTGGAGCCGCCTCCTTTAAACATTGGAGCCGGCTCCAATTTCTTGGAGCCGCCTCCACACTAAGGGGAGCCGGCTCCCTCCCTCTCTGCTTCGTCGTTCCTTCCTCCGATGAACTCTGCAACCTCTACACCTCACTGTTATGGCTTCCAAATCCTGTAACCTAACCCTAGTGTGTTCCCAGTCCATGTTTAATTCCCTATACCATTATTAATCATGAACTTAAATCAAGAATTATGCACACAACTATCAAGTTTTAACAGTTTAACAACTATGCAACACATATTGGTGTGTATCAAACTTTAGCACGATTAGAGAAACTTTTTAAGTTATAATTAATTCTGGAACAGTTTAGGAATGCAAAGAACATGAAGCCTAAGGGAGAGAGTAAGGATAGAACTTGCCTTTGAGATCTTTGTTCAAAATCTCTACGCCGTCTTCTAAGACCTCCGGTGAACACAATTGTTGTAAACCTCCTCTGTTTCTCTCTTGGCTACTTCTACAGACGTGTGCTGGTTTTTTTCCTTTCTTTGTGCTGTTTTTTTTTTAATTGTTTGTATGTAAAATCCTAGGTAACCTTATTACGTCTATTTATAAGGTTACACAAAACCTAAAGTTCACTGAAGCCCTAATGTGAAACCTATTCGGCCCATAACACCATCTAAATGAATAAGCATGTCTGTTACTTACCACCAATCCTACAGTAACGTGAATTTAGAAAAACAAGTAACTTAATTTATTTTAATTACCAATTAACCAAAAACTAAAAAAAACAATTAACAAAGAATTAAAGAACACAATTAAGCAAATAAAATTAAACTAAGTAAAACAATTAAATAATTAAAGTCAATAAACATATCAACCAAACAATTAATCAATTTAAACACACCAAATAAATAAACAAAGGCAAGAAATCAATTAAACAACCAGAAAAACCAATTACACAAATAATTAATAATTAAACAAATAAAAAACCAATAAAATAATAAACAAAACTACCGAGACTATCCTTTTAAAAATTAGGGGTATTACACCTATTTATGGCTGTCGATTGGAATCAAAATCGTTCCGCCGATGTCGATGGTTGATCTTATCTTCCGCTTGTGCGAAATCATAGGAGATTTGTTGCCAGATTTGTCGGGGATATGATTTAATCATTTTGACCTCCTCCAGTTATAATAGAATTATTCTTACCTGTTGAATCACGTCAGATTTGATTTCATTATCTTTGATAATGAAATCTAGTCAATCTTATCGAAGGTAGGGTATGTTTATATTTTTCCCTATCAATTATTATTTTTAAATTTTTGATTAAGTAAAACTAGTTGATAAAATTAAAAGTTAACTGTTGAAAATTTTAAAAGTTAAATTTGTAGTGTTGAAATTCAAAGCAATAACGGATTTAATTTACGATTTATTATTATTATTTTAAATTTTGGATTAAATAAAGTCGTTTGATAAAATTAAAAATTAAATACAAATTTTTTTAAAATTTGAATTTTTAGTATTGAAGTTGTAATTGATAATTAAAAAATAAATATTTTTAATATCTTTCCAAAGTTTCATATAAGTGAAGATACAAGATTTCGGTTCTTCTCTCTCTCTCTCTCTCTTTCTCTCTAGCATTCCCCACACTTTCCACCCGTCATGGTCTATTTATAGGCCATGACCTCTTTTGCAGTTAACCAATTACATTGGGCTTATATCCGAAAGCTCTCTTCCTTCTGGGCTGGGTCTTGCAATGGGCTTGACCTTCCTCGGTGGACCCCCCAGGTTCGGCCCATTCCAGGGTGCTTTGGCATGGATCCTACTTCAATCATTCGACCCGATCTCGTTTCCGCGATCCATATCCGGCCCATGCCACTTGCCGCATCCTCAACTGCCCCCATAATTACCCCTTATTGATTAGGGGGTAATTATTAGAGGCTGCTAATGATGACCTGACGGCTCGAGGAGATCGTGTGGGAGAATGGACGGTTAGATCTAGGGGTCGGCGCTTCGAGATTCAAAAAGACAACCCATCGCTTTTCTGACTCCTCGGCTCTTGGGCTCATCTTGTCTTTATAAGCTCCATTGATTCTCCATCGATCCTCTTTACCGTCTCCATCTCACCTTTTGCTGCTTAAATCCTCTCCGGCGATCTCTTGCGAAAGATCTTCATTCCAGTAGCTTTGCAATACTCTCTACCGTTTTCACTCTCTAAGGTTAGTTTCATTTGCATTTTTCTTTTGGAAGACTTATTTCTTCTCCCCGGAATCCTCATCCACTCTCACCATGACAGTAGATCTAGACGTTCTTCGCATGAAACTTCACCTTCCTAACGATGTAGAAATTAGAAACTGCCCCCGGGAAGTGAATATTAGAACCGGTGCTGGCCTTCTTCCCGGCGAGGCCCTGTTTTCACTCCTCCACCTCAATCTCCTTAGATTTCCTACAAGCAAAAGAAAGGATATAAAGGAAATCTAAGGAGATTGAGGTGGAGGAGTGAAAACAGGGCCTCGCCGGGAAGAAGGCCAGCACCGGTTCTAATATTCACTTCCCGGGGGCAGTTTCTAATTTCTACGTCGTCAGGAAGGTGAAGTTTCATGCGAAGAACGTCTAGATCTACTGTCATGGTGAGAGTGGATGAGGATTCCGGGGAGAAGAAAGAAGTCTTCCAAAAGAAAAATGCAAATGAAACTAACCTTAGAGAGTGAAAACGGCAGAGAGTATTGCAAAGCCACTGGAAGGAAGATCTTTCGCAAGAGATCGCCGGAGAGGATTCAAGCAGCAAAAGGTGAGATGGAGACGGTAAAGAGGATCGATGGAGAATCAATGGAGCTTATAAAGACGAGATGAGCCCAAGAGCCGAGGAGTCAGAAAAGCAATGGGTTGTCTTTTTGAATCTCGAAGCGCCGACCCTTAGATCTAACCGTCCATTCTCCCACACGATCTCCTCGAGCCGTCAGGTCATCATTAGCAGCCTCTAATAATTACCCCCTAATCAATAAGGGGTAATTATGGGGGCAGTTGAGGATGCGGCAAGTGGCATGGGCTGGATATGGATCGCGGAAACGAGATCGGGTCGAATGATTGAAGTAGGATCCATGCCAAAGCACCCTGGAATGGGCCGAACTTGGGGGGTCCACTGAGGAAGGTCAAGCCCATTGCAAGACCCAGCCCAGATTGAAGAGAGCTTTCGGATATAAGCCCAATGTAATTGGTTAACTGCAAAAGAGGTCATGGCCTATAAATAAACCATGACGGGTGGAAAGTGCGGAGAATGCTAGAGAGAAAGAGAAAAAGAGAGAAAGAGAGAGAAGAACCGAAATCTTGTATCTTCAACAAATGATGCCTTTGTGTCTTAAAAATTTATCATATTTAAAATAATGCTTATTAATAATATTCAAATTATGTTACTAAACTACACTCAATTGAATCAAACTTAATTAGTTAAGAATTAAGCTAACAACACCCAATTTCTAAAATAAATAATAATAATAATAATAAAAGAAAAAAGAGAGATGTTAGAAACAAAAATGTGTCGATATCCAACTGCATATGCCACATCAGAAATGGACCCACCGTAACTAAAGTGAGATCGAAGTATCTATTAAACATTTATTCGATACCCAATTCATAACGCGAGCCGTATAGATTAAGAAAACGTTCCTCCCTCCTGCACTTTTGGGCTTGGCAGGAGACAGAAAAAAGAGAGAGAAGATGGGAGTGCTGTCTAATAAGATCACCAGAGACGAACTCAAGGCAGGCGATCACATCTACTCATGGAGGCACGCTTACATCTACGCTCATCACGGTTCTTTCCTTTCAATTCTTTTCTCTTTTTCTTTTCCGTTACTTTCCTCCTATTTTTTTGATTAATTTACCGTATAATCTTACACTCATTTGCCCCAATTAATGGATGTTTGATCCATCTTATGCTCAATCGTTGTTTACTTATCTATTATTACAGGGACATCGTATAATTTCTATGTTAAATTATATACTTTCCTCAATTCATCGACTGTTTTTTATTTTATTCAAACCCATTAGCTCGATTACTTTTTTTTTTTTTTTTTTTTTCTTTATATATTTGTTCGATTTGAATTCCTGTCAATATAATTTTGGTTGCTTTCAGGTTGAAGTTATAGTTTCTATTATTATTTTGATTGGTGGGGAATATAAAATTCGGTGCAAAAAAATTATATCAACAATTAACTATATTCTCATCTTTCTCCAACTGCGGTGAAAACTTTAATCTTGTGGGGAGACACTGGTTGTGTACCATCAGGCTGCTTTTAACGCTGAGAGTGTCAAAGTATTGGGGTAGAAGCCTTTAATGTATGATTAACACCACTAGTGTGATATAATTTGTGATATTTGTTTACCCTTTTTGTTAACTATTTCCATTTTAATCCGATCTCCCTGAAGTTCACAGTTCTTGATCAGTGATGACATTACATTTTCGATTGTAAAGTAAATTGGTTCACTATCTCTGTTGGTAAATGGTGTCAAGGGATGCACCTGAAGTCCTCAAAACATCTCAACAAAATGTATTGGTAATTTATGCAATAAATCTGTCGACATCGGCCAAGTTAACCCCATCAGTAATCTGTTTTAACCTAGCAATGAATCATTATAAATGTCCTTGTCATTTTATTCAGCTTACTTTTCAAATATAAACAGAGCTAGAGTAGTGTCTGGATGTTCCTTAAAGATGTATATTAGTGGATATGGGACTTCTTTTATGACATGCTTGACTTTATATTAATTTGAGAATATTTTCTGGGCGCAGCTCTACATAATTCCGTGGCCTCCATGCCTCACAATTACATTTTTTTTTTTTTTAATTTTAATTTTAACGGACTTTCCACTTTGTCAAGCTCCTCTTGAATTTATTTCACTTATTTTATTTTGTTTATTGATTAATTTCTTTCCATTTAAGAGGTATTTTACTCCTTTTAACACTCAATTGTATAATTCTTTTTATGTTTTATAAATATGTAGAAAAAAAGAAGCAAGTGATAGAACTACATAGTTCTGATGAATAATGTTCTGATATCACTTAAGTGCATGGAGTGGAGTATTGCACAAGAATTTTCATTTTAAATGATCACGAGCAGGATCTCTTGTGGTTCCATGATGTTTTTGTATGGTCTTTATGCTGACTGCCAAAGACAAACTTGAGTTTTCAACAATAACAATTAAACAATAACAATAATTATCCCAATCAGTATTATACTTTTATTGTCACGATCATGTTAGGGATTTATATGCACTATTATCCTAATCACAGTTCGTTTATATGAATTTTGATACTCTCCAACATAATGACTTGTGATGATATATTATGCTAGATTTGCAATCCAAGAAATTTAAGTTATGTCACCTCTCATTGGTGCGTTGGTTGGTCTTCATTGCAGATGACTGATTCACATCATCTTGTCATTTGCTGAGACCACAACTATCTTCCATAAACAAATTAACTTCCCCTCATATTTTCCTCATTTAGTGCCATTATAGATGCTCGTGAATTCTATTCATTTATACACTTGCTCATTTCCCAGGAGCAAAATTTTTTTACTAGAAAACATTTTTAGTTTTATATTAGTCTTACAAAATTTGTTCTTTAAGATATACTATCAGACTGTACCACACTTAAGGTGCACCATGTCCACCAGTTCCGTCTTGGTCAACCTCTTTGGACAGCCATTTCTTCAATCTCTAGTTATTTATAGATTGCATATCTACAATAATGGAGATGTTTACTTTTGAAGATGCATTATATTTAGTTAAGGCAGTTTGCCCTACACCCATATATTTTGTCTACTGGCTTCACGATTACTTGCTACTTTCTTGCTTGTCAATCATAGAAAGATAAAAGTTATTAGTCTTGGTGCTCACCATATACTGGCTGTCAATTGCGGATATTTCCTCATTTTTGATCTAATGATGTTACATTCTACATGTCTTAGTTTATCTTAAACATTCCAATATTTTGATTTTAATGTACCTTCCCGGAAATTTAGTTTTGAAGTGACCTTACTTTTGTTTTATCTACTCAAGATGTATTGTATAAAGTTTCCTACACCCATATATGAACTTGTTCTTCAAAGTTTCTTTTCATATCAACACAATCATAGAATGGAAAAGTTGGCATATGTTTTCAATACATCTTGTGTTTTTTGAGTATAAATTATCTTTTTTCCTGGGAGATATGGATTTTTTTTTTTTTTTGAGATAATACAAAAAAAAGTACAAGGCTATAAGCAAAGGCATACCTTTGCACTACAAGGGTTAAAAAAACCAAAACAAGCCTCCATGACATGAGGCACAAGACAACAAAAGAAAAACAGAACATAATAATAATTAAAAAAAAAAAAAACTTAAGATCAGAAATAAGAATTCGGGCAAGACAGCCCTAGAGCAATGCATCAAACTGCAGTCCAGAAATACTCATCACTTTCCACCAGATTAATCTTGCAACCTCCTCTGCCGATCTGGTAGAATCTTGGTGATTTCTCAATTTTTTTTTCATTCCAAATGAACCATAAAGATGTAGAGAATAACTTCTATATAGCTTCTGTCTCATAGAATTGGCTTTACAAGCTGTAGATAACAAGTCAGAAAACTGTTGGAAACAATTGAAAACAGGCATATTGCAATGAAGCATATCTCCAACCCAAGAGACCAAACAGATCTAATAAACTGGCAAGCAGCAAATAAATGATCCTAAGAATCATCACATCTGAAACACAAATGACAAACAACAGGAAGGGCCAGACCTCTTAATCTCAGATTATGCAGAGAAAGCAGCTTGTCATGAAAAAAGATGCAGCACGTTGTTGAGACCCTAGGTCTGCAAAACCATTCCAACACAGAATACCATGCCACCTTAGGATTTTGCACTCTTGTTGAATCCCATACTGATTTAAAAGAGAAGGATCCATTGTTCCATATACTAGCGTCGGTTCCCTGATGCAACTGAACTGAATGAATAAAGTTATTATTTATTAAGCTTGTACAGAATAGGAGAGCTAGGAACAGGTAAACACCAAGTTCCATCTCTAATCAAGGATGAGACCATAGCATCTTTTAGAAGATGAATTTCTTTATAGAAAATTTTACTAAATTTATTGGATTTCCACCAGTGCAATATCTAGTACACTGAAAACCTCTACCTAACAGAAAGACACTAATTTTGTTCCATGACAATAGGATTGTTCTTTACTCCTTTAAAACTTTTCGAGCTATTACTCATAACCCAACACTAATACGATTCTTACTTCAAAGTATTAAACATACACATATATATCTACTAGGGTCAATAGGACTTAAGGTTGGCAAACTTCATAAAACTAAATTGGAGTCTGTAACTTTTGTTTTAGTTTCTAGCTTAGATTAGAAACTTTCAAAAGTTAGTGTTGGTTCTTACTTCTTGCTCATGGTTGATGAAGGATTCATGGTTGATAAAGGATTATGAAGCTACACACAAGGGTAAATATGTAATCTTTTACACCTAGGGTAAAATAGTAATTTAATACTTTGATGCACTCACCAGATTAGGGTTCGTTCATACAGTATTAGGGTTTCTAAGAATTCATGATTTGATTCTCAAAATCCTAATATATATGCATTAAGGTCTTTTGGAAACTTCCTATTCTAAATTTTCCAAGTACATAAATTGCAGTATACTTCAATTGATAAGTCATGTAGAAATTCAGTTTCCTTTTTATTTAAAACACTACAAACCATACTATCTATACACCCCTACTTTGCCTATATATACACTACTACTAGGAAAAATATGACCCACCTTCTCTCTCTGTATATATTATCTATCTATGCAATATTTTTTTTTGATAATCGTGGGTGTCCGGGCCAGCTTGAGCGCACCTCGACTAATTCCACGAGGCCCTGAAGTTAACGACCGGGTAAGCCTCCAGTAGCCTTGTGGAGACTCGAACTGGTGACCATTGGGGTGCAAAATCTATCTATGCAATTTTGCTAACGTATGTCAATAACTAGCCATATGGGTGTAACTAGGAGTAGTGGTACCCTTCACATACTGGTCTGATTGGCGAAGGTGGTCCCAATAGTAGCTACAATGTGCAACTTCTTCTTCCCACAACTTCCGACCTTGGAGTGGGTGTCCTGTCTCTCTCTCTCTCTCTCTCTATATATATATCTCAATATATTAGACTTTTCAAATTCAATCTGTGTCTTTTTAGACTAGTCAAGAATTTGTAGCTTTCATACCTAATGTTGTTTTTTGTGATCTCTGAATATATTTTCTGACTTAAGAGTTATGGGTCCGGTTATATACCTAATTTCTAGGACTTTGTTGAGTAACAGAGAAAATTTTATGAGGTTGGAAACTATAAACCATCAAGATTGTTGTGACGGCCCAAGTTTTATAAACCTGGTACGTCAGTGATGACCAAAAGATGACCCGATAATGGATCCGAAATGCAGAAGCGAATGATGATCAAAGCAAAAGGAAAAGAGAGATCTGAGGTATGGACGAGCACTTGTCCAAAGCCAAAGCACAGAGCGCTCGTTAGGCACTCATTAGCACTGAGCGCTCGTTAGGCACTCATTAGCACTGAGCGCTCGTTAGGCACTCTCCAACACTAAGTGCTCGTTAGGCACTCTCCAACATTGAGTGCTTGTTCTGCACTCTCAACACTGAGTGCCCGTTCGGCACTCTTACAAGGTCGGTCGTTCTGACCTACATGGTCGAGCGTTCGGATTTACATTATCAGGCGTTCTGACCTACATGGTCAAGCGTTCGGACTTACATAGTTAGACATTTTGACCTACATGGTCAGACGTTCTGACGAAAGGGTCAAGCGTTCGAACTTACCTGGTCAGACGTTCTGATCTACATGGTTAGGCGTTCTAACGAAAGGGTCAAGTGTTCGGACTTGCATAGTCAGACGTTCTGACGGAAGGGTTAAGCGTTCGAACTTGCATAGTCAGGCGTTCTGACTGCCGAACGACGAAACAAAAAGAAACAATCAGCTGAACGACGAAACAGAAACAAGAAATCAACCGAACGACGAAACAGAAGCAAGAAATCAGCCGAACGACGAAACAGAAACAAGAAATCAACCGAACGACGAAACAGAAGCAAGAAATCAGCCGAACGACGAAACAGAAACAAGAAATCAGCCAAACGACGAAACAAAAAACAACAATCAGCCGAACGACGAAACAGAAACAAGTTTAAGGCTATACATGCATTCCAAATGATCCGAAACAAGTTTAAAAACATACTTGTGAACTTTTAAAACTAGTGGCTCTTGGCTTCATGTTATACATACAAAATAACCATTGCCAAGTGTACTTAGATACACATTACACATCAAGGAAGCCATCTTAGCTTCTAAAATACCATACATCCATAGTATACAAAAATATTGCATCTAAAAGTAAAGCATGCTAAACAAGTGCATGTCAATATACAAAAATGTTCCAAATTGCTCATAAGCCACTAAGGATGATGAGCATCCGTGAATATTGTCTCCTTACCCGTAAAATAGCCCAAACAACTAGGGTGAGTAATCAAGTTACTTGTAGAAAGAAACATATGCGTATACCCTAAAGTTTCAATATCATTGCAAGCTCAATTTAGACGAATACAAGGGATCATTCCACTTAACGTCTATGTTCAAGGTGTTTTAAGGGATCATCTTAAGCTAACTTAAATGATTCTTTAACAACACAATATCAATATCAATGTACTTAACAACGTCAATTCGCCAATAGCAAAAATTACAAGTTACAATTAAGCATTGGTTGTCAACTTGGAATTGAATGCGAAATCAAATAGTGGAAACCTTGGACATCAAATCCTACAGTAAACCAAGACCTAAACAGTTATTCCGGGCAGTAACCCGCTGGGAAGACCATCCTAGTGCGTACTATAAATGGGGAGAACTCGTACCTCCCGCACTAGAGCCAAACTCTAGCCATGTCACTTGTAACAATGTCCCAAGAGAATCCAAAATCATAATCAAGTTCAAAACTCATACACTATAATTAAGGCATATAAACCACCTTCCATGCACAAGTATTTTGAAACCACACAAACCATGTCTTAGGGTTCCAAGTCTAAAATGGCATACCAAATGACAAGTCCTCATCATGGTATAATGTACAATACAACATCATCAACTTATCAATTTAAATCATGCTTCAACAATAAGCTTTATATACTAAATCTTAACATTATAGTAATAAGCTTCTAAAATAATTACAATTAGTAATCCACAAGAATATAGAATTATCATCACAACAAATATAGCAATTCAAGTCAATAAGAATCATAGTTATTGAAGGCCCAAGGCGCTAGAGGTTCTTTGGAGCCTAGGCGCGCTCCTGAGTGAAGAAAGGCGCACAATTGAAAATTTAAACTACTATAATAACATTCATATCTCATAAGTCATATTAATATTCTAAAAATTAATATCAAATATAAAAAAGTAAATCCATCAACTATACAAGCATCCAACAACCATAAAACAGAGCACAAATTTGTTTTCTTGAAAGGCAAAGCAAAATTTGTTTTTTGAATGGCAAAACAAAGCACAAAAAGATATAAATATGTTAACAAAAAAAAAAAAAAAAAAAATTTGTTAACAAGAAAAGAAAAGAAGAAAAAATAGAGCAAAAAAAAAAAAAGATAGAGAGATGAGAGAAGTAGACGAAGAGAGAGATGCAAATAGAGATAAGAAGAGAGGAGAGATCTAGAGGAGGAGAGAAAAAAAAAGAAACGAAAGAACTGACGTGGCTTCGTCGTTCATCTCTGCAACTAGGGCTTCGTCTTCGTCTCACAATCTCATCCTATTGTTGTTCGGTTAACACTTTGACTCTTGGGCTTTCTTATTTTTTTATTCTTTTGAACAAAAGTTCCTTATATCGTATGATTGAGCTTTCTTTTTTGTTTATTAAGTTGCCAAAACTATCCTTTTTGGCTTAAGAAATAGAACAATCGTATTTTTTTAAACAAATATCAGTGAGGCGCGCCTAGGCGCACCTCACAAACAGGACGAGGCGCAACTGAGGCGCTCGCCTAGTAAACATCAGTGAGCCTGGGATGACAACAGGCGCTAAACCTGAGCCTCGAGCCTACGCCTTTAACAGCACTGATAAGAATTATATATGACATCAATAATTCTACACAATATAAATACATATCATTCATGCTTAAATCAATAAATCCTAAGTCACATGTGAGGATTTCCTATAATATGTAAGACTACAATATTAAAAGTATGTACACAATATATATTAAACCCCAAAGGATCATAAAACACTTAAAGAATAAACATACTATCACCCTTACTTCAATAGAGAATTGAATCTCTATAATCCAAAGCAACCAAGCTTAAAATGGAAAACAAAACTAAGGTTTTATAGAGGAGAGTGAGAGGAAATTTTTACTTCCCAAGGTTAAAGATCTAAGGTGAGTGGAAGGAGGCCAAAATGAAGTCAAAAGCTCTAAGCCAAGCTTTTCCTTCAATGGAGGCTAGGTTCGGATTGAGAGCAAAAGGAATGAAGATGAGATAAAATGAAATGTGATGGGTGGAGGATCTAGTATTCCTCCACTCACTAGGTGTTCTTACACTACCTCTCACACACACACAATGCAAGACTCAATTTGGTGCCTACACTTGTTACCAATTCATGGTTCCTTTCTAGGCTTAATCCTAAGCCTACACTTGTTAACCATCCAAGCCAACAAGTGCACCTATCCTAGGCCAACAAGTGGGTGAATCTCCACCCTCCACATGTCACAAGATAAAGCTTCCAAGTGATTCCATCCCAATGCCAACAATTGGCTCCATGAGAGTGTGACACTTGTCACACTTTCCAAAAATTGCAAAAAGGTCCTTTTCCAAAATATATTCCAAATTAAATTGCAAAATGGTTCTTAAGACAAAAAATAATTACTTTACATAATTACACTAAAATTCCAAAAATCAAGAATGTTTTAAGGAAACTATGCATCTATGCCCTTTTACGAAAAAGTAAGCAACTAGCATGCTTTTCTATGAAAGTAAAAATGCAGATATCATAGAAATCAAATATCATGGATGCATGTAAAGCCGGAATCAAATTCGAGCATGAAAAGTGAGGTTATGCAAGGAAAATGATAAACGGGAAAAAGACGAAAAAGGAAATCACCAAAAAAGGAAAGGACGGAAAATGACCAGGTCATTATAATTGTCCTTAATTTATCGTACCTAATATGAGAGATGCCTTGTTTGATAATATGTTTGTTATCCTACTTTTTTGAGAACCGTTCTCTATATTCAATGAAATTGTCAAGCAAGGGCGGATTTCAAGCCCACCAAAAAAAAAAAAAAAAAATTTTTTTTTTTTTTTTTGCTATAGTCAATTTTAGCCCAGCCCCCCCCCCCCCCCCCCAAAAAAGAGAAGTATTACTAGTATTAGCCTACCCCATTGACAATTCCTGGACCCGCCCTTGTTGTCAAGTGAGTGGAATTTTTTGAATTCAAGTAATATCAAGTGAGCAATTGGGTGCGGGTACAATAACTTTGGAAAAGAAAAAAAAAAAATGTAGGATTCCAAATAATTTTGGTTATGGATGTTGAATTGATGAGCTAATAGACTTATAAAGGGGTATTTTGTCACTCTTGTGGCTATGCCATTTGCTGGCATAGCAGTTTTAACTAAAATGACTAAAAAAGGGTACCTGACGAGTTAGAACCATGGCATAATGCTTGAGGATGTAAAAAATTTAGGGCAAGAGGATCAAGTTAGGAGTGTTGCGAACCGGGAAATCCACAAGGGGGGTGGACAGGTGCTTCTACTTTTTTTTGGGGGGTGGGGGGCAATTCTACTATGTTCTCTTAGTTGAATTGTTTACAAGAGGCAAGAGATTGAAGATGATTTTACCACTAAATTAGTATGGTCAATAAAGCAGAGAGGTGCTTCTGAATTGCTATGGTATCAAATAATACCAATTACTCCCCATTTTAAATTGATAGTTTTATTTATTTAATTATTTTTGTCTTGAAAAAAAAAAGGCTCTAAATTTTGGAAGAATCAAAGTATTCGTATACCTCAGGGAATAATTACTGCATACAGATTTAAGCATAGCACATGGTGTCTTTTTCTAATCTTTCTTTTAACACCACCTTTTTTTCATACTTCTATTCATAATATTTTTAAATCTCCCCTTGTTCAGTAGTTGTAGGATTTCATCAATTATAGCTCAGTATATCAACTCTTGTGGTAAGTATTACTATAGTTTTCCTAACACATCTGTGATGGACAACAGGGATCTATGTAGGTGACGGGAAGGTGATCCACTTTACTCGAGCAGCAGGCCAGGAGATTGGCACAGGAACAGTGTTAGACCACATTTTATTCAGCTCATCTCCCTCCCATCCTTTGGACAATCCATGCCCAAGATGTGGGGATCAGTCAAGGCTTGATGGTGTCATATCTTCCTGCATTGAGTGCTTCCTTTCTGGTGGTGAACTCTACCTGTTTCAGTATTCTGTCTCACCAGTTCTATATATTGCCAAAGTTCGAGGAGGGACCTGTACCCTTGCCGCTTCTGATCCACCCAATGATGTCCTTCATCGTGCTGAATTCCTACTTCATAATGGTTTTGGTGTCTACCACATATTTAAGAACAACTGTGAGGACTTTGCAATCTATTGCAAGACAGGTTTACTCGTCATAACTAGTGTCAGTGTGGGCCGGAGTGGACAGGCAGCATCGATTTTTGCTGCTGCTACTGCTATCATTTCATCACCACTTCGCTTCCTGACTACCAGCTTTTCTGGCCTGGCAGCTGTGGGTTGTGGTATATATTGTGTTAGCCGGTTTGTTTCTGATATTGGAGTGCGTCGTGATGTGACTAAAGTCCCAGTTGAGAGTCTTGTTGCCAACTCTCGCATTGATGAATCCGAGGCTTTATCTGAGACCGCAACAGAGGTGGACAAAAAAGACTAAATTTGTGGTGTGGGCTGCCATTTCTGGTGTACAGGTAGGTTGCCTGTATTGAATATTTGTCGACATAGTTGTTTAAATTGGTTCCTCATTGTGTTTAATGGTGTATTTAGACATCTACTATTCGTTTGTGCATGTGCACCTAAAAATTTCACTTATTGTTTGACGTATTTATTAGTCTGTTTCTTTATCTTATTCTTGTGGTTACGGTTTATGCTATACATACATAAGTGAGACAGTTTTAGTTCCCTTTCAGTTGTTCAATTTCATAATTTCATATTTCATCCATTTCATTCCTTATTCTTTAGTTTTAGCAGTTCCTTGAAGATTGGCCGTCTCAATTGTATGATACAGCCAGATAGAAAAAATCTAGCATCAAAACCAAGGCGGCAATGGACATGGCATGATGCCAAGGCTCTGATTTATACAGTATTTATTTTTTATGTAAGTAAAAAAATTCTACTTATAGCACAAAAAAGAGAGTGAATTTACTTGTCATTTTTGCAGTCTTTTTAAATCATATATTCCTATATGTATTGAGCCAAAGTTGGATAAGTTGCTTTGTATTGGCAATGACATGCTGTTTTTCCAGTTTGTAAGAGTGCTTACAGAAATACCTTGACGACAATATGAAAGCACCATTTCTTTAGAGCAGTGGAGAAGTCGTCCTTGAAAAGTTGGGGAAATTGGAAAAAGGATCCTTTATTGTTTCAACATGGTGTGTTGTAATAGTCGGACTGTCCAAATCACTCAAACGTGTGGGCAACCACACGTGTGAGTGATCCGGATCTTGTATTACGTGCCACACGTGTTTGAGTGATCTGGACCTTGTACTATGTGCCACACGTGGGAGTGATCCTGGACCTCCCATTGCCGTGTGTAACAAGTGTATTGCAATACTGCAGAGCATAGTTTTGGAATCATTGTTGGCAAGCACTTCTCCTAGTTTGGAGGGCATCAGTACTAATCAATTATAAAATGGAATATGGTGTTGATTCAGAGTTACTTGGAAGTACCAAGTAGTTGATTGTTGTGGAGGTGGTGAATTTATTTAATTTTGGGTGAAGTTGAAAGCTCTTTTACGCCTGAAGTAACACTTCCCTCCGGCCTCCGATGTCCTTTTGGCACCATTTTTTCTCACTTTTTCTGGGCCCAACCATAGAAGTACACACACACATGCTGCATTAACTTCTGTCACATTGCTTTCAACCAGACAGGGTGAAAGAAACTCAAATGGAAACACCACTGCACCGCCCATAGCTGTTCTCTTCATTACACAACCGACACACCTATACATACACATATATATAAATATATAGAGAGAGAAACATAGAAGAGAGAGATCTGTAGAACACCACCTAATGGATACGCTAAAGCCAAGCCCTCCAAATTCTTGTCCTCTAACCCCTTTAACTTTCCTGGAAAGAGCTGCGATAGTGTACGGCGAGTGTCCATCTTTGGTGTACAACACCACCACGTACACGTGGTCGCAAACCTACTGTAGATGCCTACGACTGGCTTCGTCCATTGCATCACTCGGCATCAAGAGAGGCCACGTGGTCTCCGTGGTGGTCCCCAATATTCCCGCCATGTACGAGCTCCAATTCGCCGTCCCTATGACCGGTGCAGTACTCAACAACATCAACACCCGTCTTGACGCCCGCACCATCTCCATACTCCTCCGTCACAGCGAATCAAAGCTCGTCTTCGTTGACTCTCTCTTTCTCTCTATAGTCAACGAAGCCATTTCCTTGTTCCCGCCAAACATCAAACCTCCGATACTCATTCGTATTGCAGACGCTGATGTTGCACCATCGATCACCACCGTTGATTCGGTTTATGGTAGTTACGAAGGTTTAGTGGAGAGTGGTGATCCTGGGTTCAAGTGGGCCCGTCCGGAGAGTGAGTGGGACCCAATGACTCTGAACTACACGTCTGGGACGTCCTCTTCTCCTAAAGGGGTGGTGCATTCTCACCGTGCGATCTTCATCATCACCGTTGATTCTCTGATCGACTGGTCCGTACCGAGACACCCCGTGTACTTGTGGACCCTACCCATGTTCCACTCCAATGGGTGGAGCTTTTCGTGGGGAATGGCCGCTGTTGGCGGGACCAACATTTGTCTCCGCAAATTCGACGCCGCCGTCGTCTACGACGGAATCCGGCGACACCGGGTCACACACATGTGCGGTGCGCCGGTGGTGCTCAACATGCTGGCAAACACTCCTTCCGCGGAGCATTTAGAAAACCCAGTTCATTTCCTGACCGGTGGAGCGCCGCCGCCAGCGGCGGTGCTCCTCAGGACCGAGTCACTGGGTTTTGTGGTGAGTCATGGGTATGGTTTGACGGAGGTGGCTGGGGTGGTGGTGTCGTGCGCGTGGAAGCCGAGCTGGAATCGGCTTGCGGCAAGGGAGAGGGCGAGGATGAAGGCTAGACAGGGGGTGAGGACGGTAGGGATGACGGAGGCGGACGTGGTGGACCCCGAGTCAGGAGTGAGTGTGAAGCGAGACGGGTTGACTCAGGGTGAGATCGTGCTCAGAGGAGGGTGTGTCATGCTGGGTTATCTGAAAGACCCAGAAGGGACCTCCAAATGCATGAGAGAAAATGGGTGGCTCTACACAGGAGATGTTGCAGTGATGCACCCAGATGGGTATTTAGAGATCAAAGATCGATCCAAGGACGTAATCATAACCGGCGGCGAGAATGTGAGCAGCGTGGAGGTGGAATCAGTACTCTACTCGAATGCTATGGTGAATGAGGCGGCGGTGGTGGCTCGGCCGGACGAGTTCTGGGGCGAGACACCTTGTGCTTTTGTAAGCTTGAAGGTGGGGATGAGAGAGAAGAAGACGGAGGAGAGAGAGATAATAGAGTTCTGTAGAGCTCGATTGCCTCGTTACATGGTTCCAAAGTCTGTGGTGTTCATGGAGGAGCTTCCCAAGACAGCCACCGGGAAGATCAAGAAGTTTGTGTTGAGAGAGATTGCAAGGGGTATGGGTTCTTTACAAACGAGTAAAATGTAAAGAGTGTTCAAACCAGTATTATGGTTTTTAGTGTCTTTTTACATGGATTAATTGGTAAAATGTGTGATAGTGTGTATATGAATAATTAATTAACCAACTTGTAAGTTGATTCTTGCAAAAGGTCTTTACAAATTGGTTGGTTTGTTATTCTATAAAATTTTTATTGTCAGTAAGGTTGGTTTGTTATCTATAAAATTTTTATTGTCAGTAAGGAAGGGATGACAATTTTTACGGTTCCTGGTTATGAAATTGTTTATGTATCCTAGAATATAAATTTTAAATCTAGCGCATGTTAGGGACGAGTACGGTTTTGAAAAATATCTGCCCCATCCTTTATATTTTATATTTTTTAATTTTTGTTTATATGTATATATATATATATATATATATATATATATATATATTGTGATGTATATATGTGTTATAGATATATGCACTTTATTGTGTTCATGTATATATAAATCATTATTTACTATATATATATATAAATCATTATTTACATTATATAAAATTTATAAATTTTATCAATTTATTTATAAAGATAACAAAAAAAAAAAAAAAAAAAAAAAAAAAAAAAAAAAAAAACAGTAAACTAGAAGGGGCTTTATAAGTTTTGTTTATCTTTATATGTATGTTCATATGTAACAAATGTTTAATTTCATATGTATGTTCTCCATTTATAAGTTCTCCATTCTAGGGTAGGGCGTTACAAGTTTTGTTTATCTTTCGATTACCTATATAATATATATTAAAAGCAATCTTTATATATTGTTTAAGTTTACGTTATTATTTTAAAAAATATGCATGTAAATGAAACACTATACAAATAATTTTTTATCATTAAAAATAATAAGTAATAATATACGGATGTGAAGAGAATTGAATTTGAATTTTACGAAACATATTAGTTTTAAAATACATAATACTTATATGCATGAATTTTTAAATTTAGAATTATGTCTTTCCATATACACTTAAATATTCATGCATGTGATTATTCATTTACTTAATGATGCATGCATAAAGAGGAATGGTACTCCAACCTCAATAAACACATACTGATGAGATGTGAAAAATGTTGAATTTTAGTTTTAAAACAACATATCAAGAGTGTTTTTGACACATATTATAAATCTGTAATTGTAGGTAATCGAAAGGTAAACAAAATTTATAACCTTAATTAAAATTAGTTACACGTACACTTAAAATAACAATGCAAGGCCAAGTTTATCTAATGATGCATACATAAAGCGGGTGAAGAAGGGCAAACAAATTCTAATTAGAAAATAAATTTAAAGAAAGAAAATAAATTTATAACAAATTAGTAGGTTTACTGATTATGGTCTTTTTCTCTAATTTTTGTTGATCTCTCTATTGTCAAAATTTTAGCCATTGTTCATCTCAATCATCAAAACTTTAGCCATGTAAAGAAAATCAATAAATCAAGTAGTCTGAATCTGAAATATAAAATAGAAATAAACAAATGAACTAATAAATTAAAAAGATAAATAATCAATAGGAATACTCCAACCTTGTGTGTGTGGCGAAAAACTAATACAATTGGTATTAAAAAAAAAAAAAAATCAATCAATATAATTACAGAATTAAAACACAATATAAACATTGAAAAAAGAGAAAAATCATTCATTTATTAATTCACGGACAGTTACATTATAACAATTCGAAAATATATCTAATATTGCTGAATTTCCAAACCCAACAAGCAAGTAAGAAAATCTCCCTCCAGCCACAATCAAATATGTATTATTGTATTCAACATGAAACAAAGAATTCAAGAGAAAGCAAATATATATGTTAGTTATTAAAAATGATATAGAGATTATATATATATATATAAATACACATATGTATATATTTCTACAGATGTACTCTTAACGATTAATAGAGAGGGATTTTTGGAGGGTGGAGGGTGAACTCTAGATGATTTCAATGGTTCGTAAGGTGGAAACTTGAATCAGGTGACAAAAAATTTCTAATAAAAGAAAAATACCAATCAATTCATGAATTCTAAAAAGACCTACTATGTATCAATGTATTCAATCACGAGATGAAAAATTAAAGACAAATCAAAAATAATGGTCATTAAAAATTATAGATTGGGGATATATAAAAACACAAACATATGTATGTTATTGAGACTATTAAGTCACACAATCTTTCTGGTGTCGCTCTTACGCTCCGGGCATGCTTTCACTCTTACGCTCCGCACGCACTCTGGCTCAAATTTAAATTCGCTCTCGTTCATGTTCTTGTTCCCGCTTTATATAACTTAGATTGAAAATCTTACTTGAGAATATAATATAATAATTATAATAAGACAATAAATGGGTTATTAACTTCTTATCCTTTGGGCAATACCAAAAGGTGTAAAGTATAAATATTGGACCATAATAACAAAAGTTCGGTCATTAACTTCTTGTATTTAAAACAAATAAATAGAGTTTTTTATTTTAAAAAAAAGTAAAAATATTAAGAAATTCACAATATGCCTTACACTTTTAGAATAGTTAAGAAAGATAAAATTAAAATAAGATAAGATTAAGATATAATACACACATAGTTGGTGAATATGTGTGTTTAATACATAAACATGCTGAGCAAATTAGGAGTGTTCAAATAATCCGTTAATCCGTCAAATCGATCCGAACCAATCCGATCCGTGCGGTGCGGTTCGGTTCAGTTTTTGATCTAATGGTTCGGCGATGGTTTTAAAAATCAGTAATTCGTAATGAACGGTTCGGTTAACGGATTGAACCCTAAAAAAACCGAACCGATCCGATCTGATCCGTGAATTATATTATATTATATAATATATATATATATATATATATATATAATTATATGTATACTGCAATATATTATTTCTATTTATTTATTTTTTATTCATTATTTGTTTTTAAAATTCAGCTAGTTTTCTAATTTAACATCTGATTGTGCCGCGTCTAATTCTGTTTCTCGACTCTCTTCCTCAGTTCCTCATCTCCAGAAGAAACCATAAGATTTGAAATCTTGCAAATCTCCATCACTCATCGTAAGGTACACAATCTCTCCCTACTTTCTCTCTCCATCACTCATCCCTTCCTAGGCCCAATCTCTCTCTACTTTCTCTCTCTTCAAAATTTCAGCTCAGTATTGTATTTGGGAGGGCCAATGATCGAAGACATCAGTGAATAACAAACCGTCTCGATTGTGATCGGTGATACTGAACGACGACGATACCCGAGCTCGGCGATCTCCACCGCCCGATCCGACGGCCGTGTTAGCTTTGGATGAAGCCATAGGGGCCGATTTGCCTTGGGTCTGAACCCGTAGTCTCTGGCTAACGTTCCAAAGTCATCCATTGATGCCTTCTTTATTTTCTTGTATTCAAATTATGATAACAGTGGATCAGATCTGAGTGAAATTGCCGTTCATAGTAGGTCAATCAGAGAGTTAAAGAAAACCCATCTTTGTTATATATATCTATATCTATATATAGAAGAATAAATTGGGAAATTCAGTCGTGGTAAAGTCTTTGAAAACGTTTGTATATATATCTATGTCATTTGGCTTTTGTAGTTAAATGCTTAGATCTGATTTACATCTGTTGCATGTTTGAATTGGTGTGTATAAACAATTTCTATGTTTTGTTCTTTGTTAACATGGTAGTTTTGTTTGAGAAATCCTAATATGTGGAACCGAACCAATCCAATCCCTTACTTCACGGATCGGTTTGGTTCAAATTGAGAGTCTTTACGAATCGATTCGGTTTCAGATTTAGTCAATCCGTGAGAACTAGATTGTTTTGAATTCTATCCAAAACCGAACCGATCCGTGATCAGCCCTAGAACAAACTATATATAAGTGATAGCGAAGTTCAACTGATAACACCGAGATGACATTAAGATAAGATAAGATAAGATAAGAAGAAGATATAATACACACATAGTTGGTGGATATGTGTGTGTAATAGATAAACATGCCCAACAAACTATATATATGTGATAGCGAAGTTCAACTAATAACACGGGGATGGAATATATATATGTGATAGCGAAGTTCAACTAATAACATGGGGATGGAATTAAGATAAGATAAGATTAAGATATTATACAAATTATTTATACGTGATGGTGAAGTTCAACTAACAACACCGGGATAAATAAATTCAAGTGCCGGGTGTGTAGCCAAGTAATTAAACTAACATCCCTTTCTCTGACTCTTCTACGCATACCCCATTTGTGTTTGCCAACATTATTTATGGTGGTTCATAATTGCAAAGTCATTCAAGTACCCATTCTTTTTTCATTTTTACTTTGAACAACACTATTAAGGTTGGAGAGTTCGAATGAAATTCTGCTCCCATCTAATAGATATAATCAATCGATTTAATTCAAATTCTCTTGTTAAAAGCATTATTCTTTTATTATTAAAAAATTATATTTGTTGCGACAAAACCATCAGACATGAGGCAACTGTTACAATACTAACACAACCAATAGCGACTCTGTATCTTTTTGCAATGCCCAATTAAATATGTAGAGTTAGCCCAATTAAATATGTTGAGATAATTGTGGATGCAGAATAATATCACTAATTAGTAAAGTTAATTAAATTTAACCAGAAAAAAATTAAATTAACATGGTGTTTTGGGTCTTCTTCATGAGTCAAAGTCAATACATTTCAGCAAAATGGAAAGATCGAATCTCCTTAAAAAAAAAAAATAATAATAAAATAAAATAAAATAAAATAAAATTACAAAGATATGGAAAAAAACACTGTGCATGAGATTTTGATACTTTTGCTTTTACTGTGAAATGACCCGACTATCCTCCCTTACACTTTACCAACTTAACCATCGAACAGTGTCTTTGAACAGAGACCGTGGCTTTGATCACCGGAATGATCGTTAAGTTAACGGTCCATTTATGTTTGGGCTTGGGCCTGCTCTAAAGCAATCTTTTGTCTAGTATTGTTTTTGTTTTTAAAGAATGGTTTGAATTTGGGCTTCCCAAATTGGAGCCCCACACTTAGACCGAACCCATGTGAATATTACTTATATTAAAATAATTACGCCGAAATTCCGAAAAAACAAAAACCCTAGAGGGCACAATTACTGCGAAGAGAGCGACTTGAAGCTTCTCCATCTACATTTCTCAATCGCGCTTTCCGTCACTCCTTCGTTCTTTCTCTCTGTCTCACCTAGTGCACGATTGCACTAACACTTTATCTCTCTCTGGAAGACGAAGACTCCAGCTATCTCTCTCTATCTCTCAGTCTCGCCGCTATTTGCAATCTCACTCACCCGCTTTTGAAATTTGGTAAGAACCCTTGAAACATTATCTCATATCTCTCAATTATTCTCTTCTCTCTATTTGATACTTTTTAGTTTCAATATGACTAGATTAAGGAATAGCTTCTATTGGACTGTAAAATGTGCACAAGTAATTAGAAATTGGTGTTGAAATGAGTTTGTTGTATAGTAGCATTGTATTAACTGAAATGTTAGATTATTTTTCAAAGATGAATTTTCATATATGGTAAGAAAACTGGATGATAAGATTTTTTTTAACCATATTTTTATCTTAGCAGTTTATTATTTTTTGCAGTATTAAACACTTTTATGATTACTCACTATCGAAAGCATCTTCTATTTGTTAATTATGAAATTTTAAACATAAGTGTAATTCAGTCTACTAGAAATGATATACTTGAATGTAATGCCTAGTAATTTTTTTTTTTTTATATTGATAATTTTTCTCTGGGAAATAGATGGTGTTATGGAGATAAATGCGGGATCAGATAAACGAAAGGCTATTTTTGAGAACATGAATGAACAAGGTCTTGAAGGAACATCAAATGGGTATGAAAAATTTCAAGCACCTAAAACTGGTATGGTTTTTAACTCGGATAATGAAGCTTTTGATTATTACAAGAACTATGGTGAGTGTGAGGGCTTTGGTGTTATAAGGAAAAGTAGAAAGTTTGATGAAAACAAAAGATTGAAGTATGTAACGTTTTCATGTGCTAAATCTGGAAGGGTAAAAGGCGCTTCAAGTAATTCTATCAAACCAAAGGCATCATCAAAAACTGATTGTAAAGCCAAAATCAATATGATAGTTGATGATGATGGTCGATACACTGTGGGCTATGTTAAGTTTGACCATAACCATGCGCTAAGGCCAACATGTAATCAGGAACTATGTCATCACGCAAAAAGAAGACTTGAACTGAATGACCTAGCTGACATTTCATTAAGCAAGGCCTTCAACTCTTCTGTTGCTGAACCTGGAAGTTGTGAAAATTTGACCTTTAGTGAGAAAGAAAGTAGAAATTGTAATGAAAAAGCAAGCAAGTTAAGGCTTGGGGTAGGAGATGCTGAAGCTATTCATGAATATTTTGTTCGAATGCAAAACAAGAATTCAAATTTTTTCTATAAAATGGAATTTGATGATGAAAACCGTATAAAGAATGTATTTTGGGCTGATGCTAGATCCAGGGCAATGTATGAGTCATTCGGAGACGTCGTCACATTTGACACCAAGTACCTCACAAATAGATATGACATGCCTTTTGCTCCATTTGTCGGAGTAAATCATCATCGACAACTACTGTTGTTTGGTTGTGGCTTGTTATCTAATGAGGATACAGAGACTTATGTTTGGCTGTTTAGGTCGTGGTTAGAATGTATGAGAGGGCGTTCACCAAATGCCTTTATCACTGACCAATGCATGGCCATTCAAGGAGCAGTCACAAAGGTGTTTCCTGAAGCTCGCCATCGACTTTGCTTATGGAACATAATGAAAAAGATTCATGTGAAGTTAGGTGGGTTTGCAGAGTATAAGGAAATAAGTAACAACATGATAAGTATTGTATATGACTCCATTACCAGCACTGATTTTGAAGAAAATTGGGTCAAAATGATTGAGACATACAACCTTCATCATAATGAATGGTTGAATTCTTTGTATGTTGATCGATATCATTGGGTTCCAACCTTCGTGAAAGACACTTTTTGGGCAGGAATGTCCACAACTCGACGTGGTGAAAGTATGGACTCCTTCTTTGATGGTTATGTTAACTCAAAAACGAGTTTGAAACAGTTTGTGGAGCAATATGATAAAGCCTTAAGAAGCATGGTTGAGAAGGAAAATCTAGCTGATTTTACGTCTTTTAATTCAAACATTCCGATGATAACAAATTTTCATATCGAGAAACAGTTTCAAGAAGCTTATAGTATTGAAATATTTAAATTGTTTCAAGACGAGTTACGGGGATTATGTTATTGTAATGTTAGCTTTGTTAAAGTCGATGGGCAAATTGTTACTTTTCAAGTACGAGAAAATGTGACAGTGGGAGATGGGTCTTCTAGAAGGATGGACATTTATAATGTTCTCTATAATAAAGTCGAGTGTGAAGTGAAATGCATATGTCGTTTGTTTGAGTTTAAAGGAATTTTGTGTAGGCATGCAATTGCTGTTCTCAGTGATCAATGTGTGAATGATATCCCATCACGATATATTCTAGATCGATGGAGAAAGGATATTAAGCGAAAATACACCTATTTAAGGTGCTCTTATTTTGATCTTTCCACTAGTGCTCAAATTGAGTGGTACAACAGATTGCATGAAAAATTCAAGGAACTAATAGAAGTTGCGATGGAGTCTACTGAGAAGTGTGAGATGTTGTCAAAAATTTTAGATGCTGGAAAAGAGAAGCTTGTTTTGAACTAATTGAAATGTGCAAGTGTCAAATTGCATTGAGATCATTTCAACTCATCACTAGAACATGATGGTAATTGTCAAGGATACTCAAGCAAGAGGTTGCTAAGGTCCTCCACCATCAAAGAGAAAATAGTCAAATGTGTACCGAATAACAAGTAAAAGAAATAAACAGGTACCATCGTGTGAATGCTTTTATTGGTTTTTATTTTTCTTGCAATTTCTGTTTTAAAAAACTATTTTTTTCTTTCTTATGTTTTTAGGTCTCTCAAAAGGATTTACTTCAGAAAAGAAAAATGGTACTTTCATTCTTTAATTAAATATAAGTTTTTTTGGTAATCTTATTATATTTATATTTAGTATAAACCATTTACATGTTGAATGTAGCTTCGTGAATATACCCATAACCAGTTGTTAATATAGTTGGCATTCCTCCAAATATTCAATTTACATTGGATATGACTAGTGAAGTGGTAACTCAAGAAATTTGACATGTTTTAATTCATTCATTTATATATAATGTTTATACTAACTATATGTTGTACTCATTTGAATAAAATGTTCTTATGCTAGGCAAATCAAACCTATCACTTGAGTGAAAATTATCCCGATGTTAGTGTCTCTCAGTCAACTTTGCTCCAAAGCCGATCTGAGGTACTTGTGGGGAACACAAACTATGCTTATTTTTCTCTTTTGTAAACTCAAGAAATTTGACATGTTTTAATTGAATCATTTATATATTATGTTTATACTAACTATATGTTGTACTCATTTGAATAAAATGTTCTTATGCTAGGCAAATCAAACCTGTCCACTTGAGTGAAAATTATCCCGATGTTAGTGTCTCTCAGTCAACTTTGCTCCAAAGCCCATCTGAGGTATGTGGGGAACATAAACTATGCTTATTTTTCTCTTTTGTAAATTTTTTATTTTTTTGAAAAAAATAGGCCTGAAATTATCTAAACAAGTTTATCCTATGGAAGGTACAACCATGCATAATCAATCAATGGTAAACTTTAGCTTCCAGCATCTTTTGTGGGTTTGGCCTTTCATTATTTTTAATTAATCAAATATTAAAATTGTAAGACGTTTTTGTCTAACAAATTGTTGATTTGGATCTTCAATAGCAATACATGTCTGGTACCTCTTATCAATGATGCTTCATTAACTGAGAGTGGTAACAAGTCAAAAAAATATTATTGTCTACAATGTAAGTTTCTATTACATGCATATGTTAAACGTTTATTATTATGGTTGTAATATCAGTTGAATAAAAAATGACAGAGAAACTTAGCAGACTTTTTTTTTCTTCTCTCTCTCATTTTTACAGATGAGATAAGTGTCAAGAGTGGTGATTTGTCAAAGACTGGACTTGGAAGATGATCATAGAATAATAAATTTTAACTTTCTCTGAAAGTCTGCATCATGACCTTATCTTAAGAATGTGTTTAATCAAACGGTTAATTATTGAAGAGAAAGGCTCTTGTGGTGAATGTAAGGTAGAAGGATATGTTAAAGCAAACTTGCACTTCTGATTATTCTTGTATGACAACCCTTGGCTTTATTTACTTAATATGACCCTCTCTCTCTCTATATATATGTATCTATGCATTATTTCTAAATCATGTCAGTAACTAGCCATATGGCTGTAACTAGTCTGATTGGCAGAGTTGGTCCCATTAGTAGCTACAGTGTGCTTCTACTTTCTTCTTCTTCTTCCTACAACATCTGACCTTGAAGCGGGTGTCTTGTCTTTATATATCTATGTGTGTGTGTCTAGGAAGCACGGACACTCCAAAATGGGCGAAGAATCCGTGTCCGACACGTGTCGGACACGGACACGCGTCGGACACGCCCCGACACGTGTCGGACACGCAAAAAACGTGTCTGGAATTTTTTAATTTTTTTTAATTTTTGGACACGGCATGGTCACAGCTCGGACACGGCTCGGACACACTTTTCTGGATTTTTTTTTTTTTAATTTTTAATGCTGATATGTTCTATTTTTTGTTTTGTACTACCCTAAAGATGCTGATATATATATATACTAACCTAAAGATGCCACAATTCGCCGTGTCCGTGTCCTAAAGATGCTGATATATATATATACTAACATATCAGTGATATATATATATATTCCAATCTAAACATATCAGTGTTTTTTTTTTAAAATTATTAATGCTGATACATATATATATATATACTATTAGTCGTGTCTGTGTCCTAATTTTTTTGGATTTGCCGTGTCGCCGTGTCCGTGTCGTGTCGTATCCGTGCCCGTGCTTCTTAGGTGTGTGTGTGTGTATATATATATATATATATCAATATTTTAGACTTTTCAATATTCAATCTGTGTACTTTGGTAAATAGTCAAGAATTTGTAGATTTCATATCTAATGGTGTTTTTTGTGCTCTCTGAATATCTTTTGGGACTTGGAGTTTCTTGGATTCGGTTATAAACCTAATTTTTAGGACTTTGTTGAGTAACAGAGGAAATTTTATGAGGCTTGAAACTACCAATAAACCATCAAGCTTTTGCTTAAATTATAGAATCTAATATGAGAGGTGCCTTGTGTTTTGATAATATATTTGTTATCCTGCTTTCTTGAGAACTGTTCTATATATTTTGACTCAATGCAATTGTTAAGTGAGTGAAATTTTTTGAATTCAAGTAATATCAGGTGAGCGATTGGGTGTCGGTACAGATAACTTTGGAATAGAAAAATATATAAATATATATATATATATATATTAGGATTCCAAATGATTTTGGTTGTGCCCGATGAGCTAATAGACTTATAAAGGAGGATGTCTTGTCACTCTTGTGGGTATGCCATTTTCAGGCATAGCAGTTTTCACTGAAAAGACTAAAAAAGGGTGCATGATCTGTTAGAACCATGGCATAATGCTTGAGGATGTGAAAGTTTTAGGGTATTAGGACCAAGTTAGGAGTGTTGCGAACCAGGAAATCCACAAGGAGGTGTACAGGAGCTTCCACTTGTTTTTTTTGGGCCAATTCTACCTTATTCTCTTAGTTGAATTGTTTACAAGAAGCAAGAGATTAAAGACGATTTTACCCTCAAAATTAGTATGTTTTTTTATGCAGAGAGGTGCTTTTGAATAACAATATCAAACAATACCTCAACTTTGAAATTTTTTTTTTTTCTTGTTCGTCTTGAAAAAAAAAAAAAAAAACAGCCTCTAAATTTAGGATAGAATCAAAGTATTCATATACCTTGGGGGATAATTACCACATACAGACATAGCCTCTGTGTCTTTTCCTATTGTTTCTTTTAACACCTTTTTTTATACTTCTATTCATTTTCAATTCTCTCCTTATTCAATATTCTTAGAATTTCATCAATTATAGTTTAGTATATCAATTGTGTGGAAAGTATTACCACAGTTTTGCTAACATGCCTGCCCTGGGCAACAGGGATATATGCAGGTGATGGGAATGTGATCCAGTTCAGCCAGGGTCAGGCCAGGAGATTGGCACAGGGAACAGTGTTAGACCACGTTTTATTCAGCTCATCTCCCTCCCAAGGGATAATCCATGCCCAAGATGAGGGGATCAATCAAGGCTTGATGGTGTCATATGGTCCTGCATTGATTGCTTCCTTTCTGGTGGTGAACTCTACATGTTTCAGTATTCTGTATCACCGGCTTTAATTATTGCCAAAGCTCAAGGAGGGACCCGTATCCTTGCTGCTTCTGATCCACCCAATGATGTCCTTCATCGTGCCAAATTCCTACTTCATAATGGTTTTGGTGTCTACCTCATCTCTAAGAACAACTGTGAGGACTTTGCAAATTATTGTAAGACAGGTTTACTCATCATTACTAGCATCAGTGTTGGCCGGAGTGGACTGGCAGCATCGATTTTTGATGCTGCTTCTGCTACTGTTTCATCACCACCACTTCGCTTCCTGACTACAAGCTTCACTGGCCTGACAGCTGTGGGTTGCGGTATATATTGTGTTAGCCGGTTTGTTTCTGATATTGGAGTGCGTTATGATGTGACTAAAGTCCCAGTTCAGAGGCTTGTTGCCAACTCTAGATTTGATGGATCCAAGGATATAGTTGAGGCTGCAACAGAGATGGCTAAAAAAAGACTAAATTTGTGATTTGGAGTTATGGACTGATGTAACTTGGTGTTCAAGTAGGTTGCATAGTTGTTTAAAATTGCCCCTCATAGTGTTTCTGTTTCTTCATCTTATTCTCACAGCTATAGTATCTACCATACAACACTAATGAGACAGTTTTAGTTCGCTTTTAGTTTTTCAATTTCATATTTATCACCTTAGTCTTTAATTTTAGCAGTTCCTTGAAGATTGTCCTTTAGCTTGCATGATGCAGAAATATAGTATCACACTAAGGCGGCAATGGACATTTATGCAATGGTTGCAATGGCCATTTATGTATATGTATAGAGGCAAAGTAGGGTGGATAGGTTTGCTCTGTTTGGGTAATGAAATGCTGTTTTTCCATTTAAGAGTGCTTACAGAAATACTTCGACAACCATTTCTTTAGAGCAGTGAAGAAGAAGACTGGGATGAAGACTCTCTTCTTTTAGAGGGTACCCTACAAAGGATGGGGCTTTATTTGGTGGGCATGCCCTGGCCTCTTCAAAGTTTGTCTCATTAATTTACTTGGTGGTGTTTTGGATAACATTGTTGGCAAGCATCCACTTCTATTTGGGTTCATAACTATCAATTGTGAACTTTTTTACTATGACGGTAAAATTTCGTTTTGTTTGAATGTTGCTACTACTAAGGTAAAATGTCATTATTATTGACTTTTCCGAAATCAATTTCGGGAATGTCAAATATCTGACCTTTTTTTACTTTCAGCGGTGGACCAACCAATTATCTTTCATAATTTCTCAAATGGCAGTAAGACTTGCAAGGGGATTGATTTGAGGTATCAAAATTATCACAAACTTGTTGGATGTGGATTGTATACTTGTCAAGGGTAGCCATTTAAATCCAAATCCAAGAAACAAAAGCATTACCTTTTTTAAAAAAAAATTCTTTGAGTTCCTTATTTTTATTATAAAAATTGATGTAAACGGTTTTTTTTTTTTAATGATCAAGCATCATATTAAAAGTTTAATATATATATTTCATTATTATAATTACCCAAATTGTCAATATCATAGCGATATCAAATATCTATGTTCCAATCTGGTGTGATTTGAATGCACATGAGAGCAATTCCAATGGAGTCTCTAAAAATTGGTTCTCTAAATTTGTCAAGTCATCGTTTTGGAGTCTCCAAATTTTGGTTATAGCTCTAATGGTGCATTTTCGTTCTCCAAAAATAATAATATTTTAATATTCTTAAATTTTTTAATATATATATATATTTACTTTTTCATAACGGCTATATTTTTAACTGGTATATCATACAAAAAAAATTAAAACAATACAGTACGATATGAATTTAAAAAAAAAATACAATACCATTATTAAAATCAACTAGGAAAATCACAACAATCATACAAGAAGCTTGAGGCACTGTTTTTGTCACTTGAAAATTTTAAAAAGGAAAAAAAAAATCACTTTTTCTCCTTTTTTTTTTTTTACTTTTTTTTGCCCAAAAAAACAATTAAGGCATTGTTTGTGTCAACCAAACAGTGCCTTAACGCTCTTTGATTTAATTATTTTGAGGGAAAAAAAAGGGGCCAAAAAATGCAAAAAAACTGGATTACAGTGTTTTGGGCCACAGTTATTATGGGTTACAATGTTTTGGGCCACAAAAGTTAGAAAACAAAAAAATAAAAAAATAGGCCGGCCCGCACAAGGCAGCCTGCAATCGCTAATTGGGTCGCCGTTTTTGACGATCCATTTCGTGACTCGAAAAATGGAGCCCATATTTTGGAGACCCCATTGGACTAATCCAATCGCCAAAAAAGTCCCAAAATTTCTAAAAAGAGGTTCGTTGGAGCTACTACGAAATATCTAAGTCACATAATCCTTCTCAACAAGTATCGTTTTTGCGTTTCGAGTGCGTTCACGTTCCGCACACACTCTCACTTAAATTCTCACTATTTATGACATAATTTTGTCGCTCTCATACTCCCTCTCTCAAATTCGTTATCGCTTCAGTTCTCGCTCCCGTTAGTGAAGGACCCTAAAACCTATGAACCAATGGGTGGACATTAGTTAATGCATGAACAATGTAAATTTTCAAGTTTGACAGAAGCTTAATCAAAGGGATTTATTTATTTTTCGAATCCACTGGCGTATGCAATATGAGTATGGAAAATCCTTATTTTGCCATCAAATATTTTTTTTTCGGCACATACTATTTAAATAAAAATAAATTGGGCTTGTGGTTGGAATTGATTAAACAAACCCACGTGGGTGGGAATTGGGTTGTAGTGCGTATGATCCACTTGAATTCAGTCAGTCAATATTTTGACTTGGTAAAAGGATCGTTCAATGAAGAAGATCAATCAGCATTTTTATTCTTTATTTTTTCTTTCTCAAAAAGGCAAATTTTATTGCGTCCAAATAAATACTATTAGGTATAAATTTTAAGGAGACATTTTATAAAACCGGTAGACACTTGTTTATTTATTTAAAAACTTAGTTATAATGCTGCAAATAGGTACAAACTCAAATCTTAATTTTTTTTTAGAATTTATGAAGTTGCCCCTACTAAAATTATAATTTGCCCCAAGTGGAATTTTTTTTTTTTTTTTTTTTTTTTAAAGCATTTTATACTATACATTTTAAAAATTTATGAAAAACCCCAATTAAAATTATAAAAATTGATCCACTATATAAGTTTGTCCCAACAAATTAAAAGTTCACCCTTTCACAAAATTTTCTGGATTCGTCACTAACTGTATATCCATTCATTTATACAAATACATTTTTTCATCTTAATCCGAAGTGAGACAAAAATGTCCTTTCAACATTCATACTTCATCTCACGTCGACCATCTTGTGAATTAGGAGCTTTTCACTCCCCCTTAGACTGGCCTCATTCAGCCATCATATCATTGTTGGATTTAATTTATTCATCGTAACAAAATTGCGTTCTTCATCATTAATATGTTTATACAATTAAAAATAAATTGGGATTGTGGATGAAATTTAGTTACGTGGAATTTAATTATTATTATTTTTAATCGAGAATCTTTCTTAAATAAATTCAAATGTTCATAACAAAACTTGATTAAACAAACCCACATGGATGGAGTAAGGTTGTGTTCAATTATTATGTAGTCATGGGCAATAATTCTTATAAACCAAAATATGAGATGGTTTTTGACTTAGTCTTCAAAAAAAAAAAAAACCTTGACTTCTATATTGTCTTTAATAAAAGACCACAATTATCTTTTATTTATTTTTTTCACAAGTAAGCCACAATTATCTAAACAAACCTCAAATTAAGCTCATTTAGGACTCTGTGTGAACTAATACGTCATGCTTAGGTTCTATTTTTTAGTCAGATCTGGACTCTAGCCGACATTCTACATTTGAATTCGGCCAGTCAATATTTTGACTAGGAAAGCCCAATAAATGAGAAAACCACTTTAAAGAGGATGACCAATCAAATTTTTTTTTTTAAAAGGCAAATTTAATTGCTTTTTGCATGTAAAATTTATATTTTGAGAAGCGTTATAGTATCAAAATATTATATTTTAATAATTCTATTTTAATGGTACATTTCATCTAAAATACTATATTTTAACAATTTTCAGCCTCCATTGAACCAAGCCTAACCTACTTTTAGCTTTCCCAATCCTAATTTGACTCTGACTCTTGAGTACCGTTGATTTTGAAATCACCTTCTCATCTTTACTATTCATTGCATTATGTCCCACATAAAAAAACAAACTACAAAATGATTTTAGGGCAAATCATTTCAGCCTCCCTAATGGCCTCCATCTTTATTCTCGTTCTCGACCCTGAACTTACCCTCACTCTCTGCAACTACAAACTACAAAATCAGAAGTTCAAAACCCATATATTTCAGTTTATCTATCTGTCCGTAAGAATCAAAAGTTCAAAACCCATATCGGTATATCATTTTAAATTGTTCAAAAAATCAAAACCCATATTTTTCAGTTTCAATCGCCCACTGTTCCAGTTCGGGTTCGCCGTTCGCAAGTTTCAACCGCTGTCTCTCAACTCTCAAGCTTTCCCCCCCCCCCCCCCCCCTCTTGCAACTGCTAACTTGTATGTATGGGTTTTATTTAATTTTTTTTTTTCTTCCCTAAATCATTTAATCAAGGTCTATATGACTGTAATTCTTGTTTTGCAAACTAAATCCTATTTGGTGAATATTTTTGACTTTTTAAAAATAATTTTGAGGTAATCACCGTAATCTACATTTTATTTCTTGGAAGGAAGAGGGGTGGCCAGAGATTTGCGAGGATAAACTCGGCCTCGGCTATGGGGATTCTATATTTGTAGAAATCGGTGGTGGTGGTGGGGTTCAGATAATAGAATGGGATGAAAAGGAGAGAGACGAAAGGGCAACGAAATGGTATCGTACAGTCTCGAATACAACAATATCAGTAAATATATAATGTGTTATATTTGACACAAGATTTGACAAAGTTATACTTTGACAACTCATTTTAAAGTCACCTCCTATATTTTGAGATTGACAACCCATTGGAGTTGCTCTAAATAGGGTTAGAAATTTGTGTCGGGTCATATTCATGTCGTGTCAAGGCATGGGTATCCTATTAAATGAGTCGACATGAACGCAGCACGATTATTATTCGTATTAAAAAATTTCAACACAATTAATACACAGATAATACGACACGACATGCGTAACCCATTTAATAAGTGGGTTAATATTTGACACAATAAAACACATTTAAGTCATTTTTGGCACAAATATGACACGTTTAGTTAAATGGATCATTTTAAATACGAATACTATAACGCGTTTAGTTAAATGGGTTATAAACGAATTAGTGAGTCAAATACGAACACGATACGTTTAATAACCGTGTCAATATGGCTCGACATAATTACAATCCGAACACGATTAAATCAAACTTAAACTCACTTATTTCGTATCGTATTTGAATCACATTAATGTACTGTGTCAAATATTATTACCCCTATCCATAAATATGTATATTTATGGAAATATGTATGCCATGAATAATTGTTGGAGTGCCTAGTATTTTCCAAATGGGCAATGCTTAACTACTCACTAATGAGTAGGATGAAACTACTCACCCCTGTATAGTCTAATAACAAACTAACACATCACATTTAATAATAAAATAATTCACATATTTTTCTGCTTTCTCGGATCAATCATTGAATAAATCG